AAAGAGTGCTGGGTTCAGATAACCCGAGCTAGATGCTTATCTAACCTCCTCTTGAAGACCCCCAAGGTAGGGGAGAGCACCACCTCCCTTTGGGAGCCCGTTCCAGATTTTGGCCACTCTAACTGTGAAGAAGTTCTTCCTAATGTCTAGTCTAAATCTGCTCTCTGCTAGCTTGTGGCCATTATTTCTTGTAACCCCCGGGGGCGCCTTGGTGAATAAAACCTCACCAATTCCCTTCTGTGCCCCCGTGATGAACTTATAGCCAGCCACAAGGTCGCTTCTCAACCTTCTCTTGACCTTCTCACAACCCCCTTAAGATCCTGATGATCAGACAAAGAAGATCCCAGGCATACTTTGCCTAGTTGGTAAGGATGGAAGCAGAACAGCAAACTGTTCCTGAAGAGCTGAAGGGGCAGGAAGGTTTCGGGACCTTGCTGCAGCTGGGGTGTGCTGGAGCTGGACAACAGATCAGTGTCCCAGAAACTGTCCATGAAACCAGGTTCTGGACACAAGAGGAACAGAGCAAGAGAGAGAGCTCCAGTGACACCACAATCAAGCCACAGGACGATGTCCATCAACACCATGGCTGGCCCTAGGTATGGTCCCTGTCTCCCCACCACCCTCAACCCTGGAAAAACACTGTAAAGTTGCTGACCTGGACACCCTTTTTTGCATGTCTGTGCTGAGGTTACTCCATGCCCCTTCCTTGATGGCAGCCTGTGCCAGGAAGCCATCTCCCTGGCTCCATTCCTCTTGGTTCAGTTGTGAGGGGAGCGTGCCCAATCCCTAGGCCACTGCACATTCTAGTAAAGCTCCACATGCTGCTGTGGGCACATAGCAGTACCATGGGGACAGAGGAGCACCTGTAGGCATGCCCATCGGATGGAGGCCATATTGCTCCTACACAGGCACTGCTTGGTCATAATGCTAACCACTCCCATCTTCCAGGCACACTGTGCCAGGCTTTGACTCTGGTCCAGGAGAGTGGGCTGGGATGGTTCTGGCAGGTGGCTTGTGGCCTTCTGTGCCCAAGTGTCAGGTGGTGGCAACAGAACAGTCTCGCACCCAATCCTGACCCTTCCCCCACCCCTCCCTACTCCATATTTCCTGCTGCATCTCCTCTATTTCTCCTGTCCATGTAGGGGCTGACTTTCAGGTATCCATGTAGCCATATCTCCCCATTGCATTCCCAAAAGACTGCTCCAGAACATGGTGTGCTGATGCGGGGCACGATTAAGCTGTGTTCTTGGAGACAAAGAACGCTGTGATAATTTCTGTGTGTTCACTTGGTGCTTCCCTGCAATTTTCCAAGACAATTTAGAGGCACCAACCTTGGGTAGCTGGGGACATCTGCATGATGTCCTCTGTGCTTGCCCCCTGTACAATTTCCCCTGGTTTTCCCTAACCCTGCATTGTGTAGTCTCCCCTGTGCTCATCTCTCTGCACCTCCTCCCATCTCCAGTGTTCTCCCCCCAGGTAGGGGCAGCTGCAGCCACAGCCTGCCCTGACTCGCACTCAAGTCTAAGATGAGGTTTCTTTTACTCCATGCTGAATTGTAGATACAATACTTCAGAGCAGCTGCAGGTTGTCTGAAAGGACCATAAAGAAATTTTAGCCTTTTGATCTATAACTTGGCTTCTGATTTTCTTGTCTTATTTTTTTTCTGCGGGGAGGGAGAATTTAGGCAGGAGCTTCCAGTGGTACTAAGAGACATCCTTAGAGTCTGGCTGTTGTGTCTTGTTCAAATACTTAGTGTTAAACCAACTGTTAGAGCTGGAGTCAGCAAGTCAGGCTGGTTGGGATTAAATGTTTTATTTTTTAATTTTTATTTATTTATTTATTTTTGTAGTATAAACCATGGTCTACTGCCTCAGATTTTCTGGGAATCCTCTGCCTTTACTGGGGCTTAAGGCATTGTTCTCAGTCAATATAGTTGCTGCGGCCTTTGATTGTCTGTATTAAAAGATCCTGAGCTTGTCATGCAGCTTTGGGAGATTTTTTTTTATGGCTTACAGCATAGAGGAAAGACTGCAGTGGACATTCTTAGAGGCTAGGGACAGACATTCAAAAAGCCTGAGCCAGAATTGATTCTTTGCAGGTTAGCCTAAGCTGTGTAGCCTAAACTGATAAATAACTGGACAGACATTCTCTGTTAAATCAGGAAATGCAGGCACGTGCCTGCAGTGGCTCAAGGCAGAAGCCGGGGGGCCCTAGAGCATGTCTGCCAGCCACTGTCAAAGGGGAGAGTAGAGAGATGCCCTCCAAGGCTCTCACCCCTCCCTGCTGGAGCAGAGGGGGCATGGCCAGACACCAGTTGGGGCTAGCAGGCCGCACAGGATGCTAGCCACCCATGGGGGGTGGGGGTGGAAGCTGCTGCCAGACTAAGGAGTGAGGATGGGAAAAAAGTCCTTTCTCTGAAGCAAGCATGTATTGAACATGGCAATTTGCAAAGCATACAACAGGGAACTACCAAAAACCTTTGCCTAAGCTAAGATAATGCCCAGTAAAACACAGCATACACAGCTTAGTCTAATTTAAAATGTAAAGCAGAAAGACAAGAGAGAGCCTTGCATAAGTCTTACTAATCCTGAGGGCAGAGTGTCTCCTTACAGCCAGACATTCAGAAAGGCTTTGTTTAGGTTTTACAGGTTCTGCTTTATAATGTAAATGTAGCTCTCTGCATTCTTTGGTCTACAACTTCCAGCCAGAAGATGTCTGCAACTTCCCTTAACTCCATCTCTGGCACATATGTGTGATGATTGTCAGGTTTTTGCCAAGACTTCTCACCTATCAGTCTGGTTCTGCATGTCTTAGCTCTGGGCTCACAGGTGCAGCTTGCCTCTCTCTCCTGCTCTAAGATCACTGTAGAATTAATCCCCTCCCTGGCTGCAGGCAATCTGGACAGAGGGAGGAATTAACTCCATCTCTGCCTGGCTGCAGGAAAACTCTGGAGGTGCGGCTGGGGCTGGCAAACCCCAGCTGCGGTCCACAGGGTTTGTCAGCAGAGGGGAGATGGGATGGAGGGAGGAATTTGCCTCAGGGGCCATGGCAGGCCAGAGTCTGGCCATGCCCCACCCCTACTCCAGCTAGGGAGCAGAGCGAAGGGGCCAGCCCAGCTGTTGAGCAGAGAGCCCTGCCCAGCCCACAGAGCATGCCGGGATGCTGGGGATCTCTGATTTAACTTAATCCAGCAAGGGATCTGGGACAGACATTGCATAAACCAGTTTGAGCCAAATCCATTAATTCTGATACTGCATTCAACCAGGTTTATCTCAAACCGGTTTCAATCATTTTCAAACTGGTTTATGTGCACTGACTATCTATTCTATTGCAGGTTTAAGGAGTTTCTGATCACTTACACCAGTTTATGTGTAATGTCTGTCCCTAGCCGTAGAACCCTTTGGATTCATTTTATGATCTATTCTGTGGTTATCTGAAATTGCAGGGGACTGGACTTGATGGCTCACATGTCCACATCTAAGTCTACATTTCTATGAATTCTTGGCCCATTTAAAGTCGATTGCAGAATTTCCATTGACTTCAGTTGGGGCAAAATTTCACCTTTAATCATAATGAATAGATGGCAATAGAAACGTGGCGTAATTTCACATGATTGACTGCTTGTACTTAGCTGTCAAGTTTAGGAATGGAAAGCAGAGGATGTCACAGTGAAGAACAGAGGTACATTGCCAGAGTTTTGGTGGCTAGCAATGAATCCTTTCTGTGCAAGAAATAACACCAGTAAAATTTAAAATCTGTTGTTCAATATGTGCACATCATAAAGACCAGATACTTTTTTTGCTCATCATCTCTCTGAAACATCTTTGCCTTATGGTTTCCTTTTCAGTTTTGGACACATTTCTTCTTATAACATGTTAGTGTAAATATAGTCATCTTCTATATATTATGCACATATAATGTATACAATCCTTTTTTAAAAGGATTAATTTTCCTCTCTTTGGGAATAGATATTTTAACTTAGAAAATATTTTTCAAATAGTGATCTGATAAAATTACACAAATGAAATCACTGACTCTTTATAAATACTGTTTCATATCAACTTTCAGAGTGAGTCTTTACTACAAGAGAAAACAAAAGAGCAAGAAGAGGCACTGACAAGAGAGACTCTGTTAATTTTCAATGACATGAGACTAAAGTTCCTTGGAAAAACAGAAGAAGAGGCAGAATTAATCATAGAAAATGTAAGTATCTACCACTAAGGTACAAGCATGATAGACTCAGCCCACTTCTTTTTTTAAACCCTTAGAAATGTAGCAAAATACAAAGTATTTCTCAAGGAGCCTTACAACTCATGGAATTCAGGATAACTCAAAGGATTCCAGAGGATTCAGACTCCTGCATACTACTTGACCTTAAAAAGAAATCATTCTTAGGTCTGTATAAAATATGTGGCAAACATAATCAGGAAGGTTGGGTGACTTCAATTTTTCATTGCAGAGGTTTGTACTATTAACATTCAAACTTTAAAGTAAGCAAAGAATAAGGTCACAATTCGTTAACAGTCTATGCATCATAGACTAGTGTTAGTACAGATTGTGACATGTATAATTTCCCCCTGAGTAGGCATGCTAAAGAACTAAGAATAGTGTGCAGTAGGGCAAACTGAAATACCACTTGCATACTTCTTGGCTTCTTGAGTTCTCCAATGTACTTGTAACCAGTATGATTCTGAGGCTTTAGTACTTGATTTGAAAGAGTTGAATGTGAAAGGAGATTTAAAAAAGTGAAAAACCATACTTGATATGCATGTACAGAGGAAACTAAAATTCAAATGCACGGTTTTTGCAAAGAAACAAAGGCAAACACATACGGAAAATGCCTAAGAACCTTTAAAAAAATCCCGTCAGTTTAAGAAACTAAAAAGCAAGCAGAGAAAATGTTCTGTTCTTTGGATTTGGCTGGGGCATAAAGGGACACAGTAATTTTAACTTGTGTCAAGTTTAATAAGTGTATCCCTTATTCAGTGAGAGGTATGATTTCAGGTGTAGTGAACTGCTGCTTTTGGTTTATGAAGGGGAAGTTTGCTGAGCTCTACCAAACTCAGGATGCTCAGGATGCTCTTCAGTTAGAAAGGTCCTCTGCCTTTTGGGCCATACAGATCCCAAAAGGGCATTGATACTAAATCCATAATAATTTAGCATATGTGCAAGAGAGGATTAGCCTGATTTATGGGCAAAAGCCCATGAAGACTTGCATTTCAGGGACATGTAGAACAGGAATAAAAAAGTTCTCTTGTTCCTTTGCTCTCTTGTTCCTCACTCTCTGCCACTACCAAAAACCAAGTACTTCATAGACTTGACTTAATTCCTTTGTGTGGTTCGGAAGTAAAGACAGAAGACAAATCTTGTATCAGTTTTTTGGGCATCTGAAGAACTAAATCCCCAGAGTGGGGCTCTCTTGTTTCTTATCACTTAAGGAAAGCACCAAGCCTCTTACCCAGTTACAGCTGTAGAAGAAATTTAACTTTATACGTAGACTGAGGAGCTCCTTTTTCTCCAATTGGTATTGGTGGGTGCACATCTTTAGCCTGCAAGACTTCTTTTCTTTCCCTGCATAAACTGTGGAGTGAGACTGTAAGCCTAAAAGGTTTTTTAAGCCACATGGCTCTTATCATTGACTGCGTGTACTTCCATCAACAAGGGAGAACTCACCTTCTAATTAAAGTGCATGATTCTCCTGATGCCAGTGAGAAATTCAGCTCATCAGAATCTGTAGCTGTTTTTCTAGGAAACTGGCTTACTTGGCTTTAGATTTTCAAAAGTGTCTCAGTAGCCTAGGAGCTTCAGTTCCATTTTCAAAAGCAAGCAAATCATGTAGGAATTTAAGTTGCAGTGACTGTCAATTGTCATTTTAATATCATATAGTCAAAAACTAAATGAATAAAAATGAAAATGTAATATGAACCATTTCGTGCTCAGCTAAACAAATGTTTCAATGGTTATACAAAAGGAATACTTTGTTTTAGCTTTATTCCACTGAAAGGTATGTCAATTTTGACATACAATATTTTGATTTCAGTGAAACTGAATTTTTCAGTGGAAAACTCTTCTAGTTGAAGTTTCTTGACCAGATCTAAAAATCAAATGAGGGAGCCGGTATGGAATATATTTTTCACTAGATTAAAGACAATGTGAAAATAATTTATATTTAAAACTTTTTCATTGGAAGCTCATTTTTAGAGTTTGCGATTCTGGATTTACATGCTTGTTCTGAGCCCACAGGTGCTTCCAGCTGTTAATTGCTCTAGGTTAGGGTTTGTCAACCAGGGGTACATGTATCCCTGGGGGTACTTGGACTGGTCGTAGGGGTTATGCATGGGCAGGTGGGGACAGAGTGCTGCTGCCTCCCAGGAGCAGAGCTGGGGTGGGGTGAGGGCAGCGCCGCGCCCCCCTCCCCCCAGGCGGGG